TTGACAAGTCCGTTGTCACGTGGAATATGGTTTAAGGCGTAAGATAATGATAATTTTGATAATCGAAGTAATGATAACATTGATAATATTAATAAGTAATACAATACAATAACAACAATAATGATATTGATAATAATAATTCCGATGATAACAATAATGATATTGATGATAATAATGTCGATGATAACAACAATGATAAAGATAATATCAATGCCTGAAATAATGGTAATCATGATGATGTTAACAATAATGATAATAATCATGGTAACAGTAGAGATAATGATGATAAAAAATAATGATAACAGTAGCGATAATAATTGTTGTGTTGAAGATGATAACAATAGTAATGATAATAGTAGCAATAATAATATCAATGATAATGATGACTTTAATAATAATGATAAAATTGATGATATGATGATAATAATACTGATACAAAAAGGATGATCATAATGATAATAATAGTAAAAGTAATAGTAGTAATAGTAGAAGTAGTAATAGTAGTAGTAGTGATGATGATAATAATATCAGTGATAATCATAATTGTAACAATAATAGTAATAAGAATGGTAATAACATCAATAAGAAAGGGAACAGTGATAACAAAGATAGAAATCATAATAGCGATGATGATTTTAATAGTAGTAATGCCATAACTTTTATTTGAATGAAGAGTAGTTGTAACAGTAACAGTCACAATTAAATGATATATAATATGAATAGATATTGTCTTAAATTGTTTATATAAAGATGATGAGGATTTTCAAAAAATAACAACGATAGGGAGAATAATGATTATAGAAAAAAATGACAATGATAATGCCAATAACAATTGTGCTGTCAAACTATGTGCATTTCGCTATCAAGATATTATTTTTTTCTGTAAGCCAATGAGACAAGCGTTGTCAGGTTGTCATGAGAATATTCTGTTTTTTTTCCGCACAGAACATCCCCCCCCCTCTCCCTCTCCCTACCCCACCTACTCCGTCTAGCTTTGGTTTCTTTTCCCCTTCCCTTGCTCTCTCCCTCTCTCCCTCCATCCCATCTCTCTACCTTTGTCCTTCCCTTTCCCCTTCACTCCCTACCGCCATACCCTTCCTTCCTCCTGATCCCTTTCTCTTTCTTCCACCCTTCTTCTCCCTCCTTTTCCCTTCACTTCCTCTCCCCATTCCTCCTCCCTCTATCTCTTCCTCCTGCCCTCCCCCTCTCCTCTCTTCCCCTTACCATTCCCCTCCCTCCTCCTTCCCCCCTTACCATTCCCCTCCCCCTCCCTCCTCCTCCTTGCCCCCCCCCCCCCAAAGGGTTCGTGTCCCTCCCTCCCACATTGCACATTTCCTGTCTCTTCTTTCTCATTCTCTACCTGTCCCCGACTTACCTGTCAGAATGGTCACACTTTTTCATATCTGATTACTCTCTTCATTTATATAACACATTTTTCTAAAGTTCTCTCTCACTTGCTGTCACTCTCCTTCATTATTCCACTTCTTTAACGTTATTTACCTTTTTATTTTGTTCTCCAAGTGTACTGATTCACCCGAGTTTACCAACGACCGATCAGTATTATTTTCTAACTTTCGTAAGCAACTCCCCTTTGTTTGTTTTTCAAAGACAAAGGCTTGAGCAATGTGTAAGCATGTTTTACCAAAACGTTTATATGTACAAACAAACACACACACACACATACACATACACATACACACACACACACACACACAACACACACACACACACACACACACACACACACACACACACACACACACACACACACACACACACACATATATATATATATATATATATATATTATATATATATATATATATATTTATATGTGTGTGTGTTGTGTGTGTGTGTGTGTGTGTGTGTGTGTGTGTGTGTGTGTGTGTGTGTATGTGTGTGTGTGTGTGTGTGTGTGTGTGTGTGTGTGTGTGTGTATGTGTGTGTGTGTGTGTGTGTGTGTGTGTGTGTGTGTGTGTGTGTGTGTGTGTGTGTGTGTGTGTGTGTGTGTGTGTGTGTGTGTGTGTGTGTGTGTGTGTGTGTGTGTGTTTGTGTGTTGTGTGTATGTTTGTGTGTGTGTGTGTGTGTGTGTGTATGTGTGTGTGTGTGTGTGTGTGTGTGTGTGTTTGTGTGTGTGTGTGTGTGTGTGTGGTGTGTGTGTGTGGTGTGTGTGTGTTGTTGTGTGTGTTGTGTGTGTGTGTGTGTGTGTTTGTGTGTGTTGTGTGTGTGTGTTGTGTGTGTGTGTGTGTGTGTGTGTGTGTGTGTGTGTGTGTGTGTGTGTGTGTGTGTGTGTGTGTGTGTGTGTGTGAGTGTGTGTGTGTGTGTGTGTGTGGTGTGTGTGTATTCTCAGGGGAATAGGAATGTCGGATCGTCCGTCGCCTCCCCTTCAGGCGAAGGGCGCCGTCGCGTTGTGTCAATCCCAAGGTCGTCGGCGTCCTTCCTCCTGCCCCCTTCCCCGCCTTCCCTCCTTCTCCCCTTCCCCGTACCTTCTATTCCCCTTTCCTCCTTCCTTCCTTCCCCTCTTCCCTCTCTCTCCCCTTTCCCACCTTCCTTCCTTCCCCTCTTCCCTCCTTCTCTCCTTTCCCTTCTTCCTTCCTTCCCCTCTTCCCTCCTTCTCTTCCCCACTTTCCAACCCTGTCGCCCCTTCCTCTCCTCCCGAAGACACTTCACTTGAAACGGAATCTGAGATCACCATCACGATTATCGACACGAAATGCCTGGCCATCAGCGAGTCGATCTCACGCAAGCGCAAGACGTAATGCTACTTCTCTCCGTTTTTTATCGAGTTCGTTATACGCTTCGCCATTACGAAGCCGGGCGGCATCCAGCTCGGTCAAGGTCAAGGTGAAGCCACAGAGTAATTGGGATAATGATACTCTCGGCGGAAGAAAAAGAGGGATGGAGGGGAAGGGGGGAGGGAAGAAGGGGGGGGGGCTTGCGAGGGGAGCGTTGGAAGGGGAGAGGGAGGGGGGGTGTCATCTTCAGGACAAGGGGGGAGGGGCTAGAGGGCCGGGAAGGGTGTCATCCCTTAGACAATGGTGGGGGGGGGGGACGGTTGGGGAAGGGAGAGGAGGAGGGGGAAGGAAAAGGGTATCATCCTCAGGACAACGGGGGGACGTTGGGTGACGGGGAAGAGGGAGGAGGGAGGTGTGTCACCTTCAGAATAAGTGGGGGAGTTTATACTTAGGACAAGCGGGGGAGGGGGAAGGTAAGAAGGGAGAGGGAAGAAGAGCGTGTCATCTTCAGGACAAACGGGGGAGGGGGGGGGTAGCGATTGGAGGTGGGTAGGAATAGGGAAGGATAGAGCATATTAATATTAGGAGAAACGAGCGAAGGAAGGCTCGGGCTAGGAGCGGGGGTGTTTCCCTGAGCACAAACGAGGGGGAAGGGGAGGAAGGGGAAGTAGGCGAGTGTCAACCTGAAGGGCAGGCTAGTGGAGGGATAAGGAGAGGATGAGAGAGGGGGGGGGGGAGGAGGAAGAGGTCATTCCGAGGGCAAAGGAGTGGGGGGGGGTGAAGAGGAGGGGGCTTTGGGCGCGGGGGAGGGGAGGGGAGGGAGAGGGTGTCCTGAAGGCAAACTAGAGGGAGGTCACAGCGAGGCGGGAAGGGGACTACAGGGATATGGTATTGGGGTGGTCGGGGGGCGTGGGAGACGGGGGGGTGGGGGCGGACGAAGAGGATAGCAGCGTGGGAGGATTTGCAGGGAGGGGAAGACGCTTCAATTCAGTGGAAGTTATCCCCGGTATGAAGGTAAAATAACAGCAGCACGATTATAAACGCAAGCACACGATTGCGTTTGAACGGTATATGCTTTGTTTGTGAGGTTTAATAGAAGTACATAACACACACACACACACACACACACACACACACACACATACACGCATATTCATATTATTACCAGCTTCCGGCTGCTTAGTTTTTTAAAAACTTTCTGACGCACATGAAATAGTCTATAATTTCCCCGAAAATTATTCCACTTAACACATACACATCTAAGTGCCGCTACAGCTATTAGCTTTTTTCTCGAGAAATGACACTGAATTCCAGCAAAATCTTATAAGACGGGATCGCAAAAACGGAAATAACATAGTGATTGCAATACTGTTAGGGTACCCGCAAAAATCGTTCATATCCAAATTTTAATCAATATTTGTATAATTCTCGTGTTGTGTTTACTCCACCGACGTTTCCATGGGTATTCTTTTTTAATAACTTTCAATTACATTAAGAAAAACAATCAAAATATCCTGGTAGGCAAAGATTACACCACTCATATTGGCTATCCTGTCTTTCGTAATCCTTTTCATCCAGCGCTAAGCAAGGAACTCCAACCGACAAACACAGGATGCATGGAAAACTCTGACAATATTTGTAATCAATTCAAGATGTAGAATTACCGAAATCGTACATGTTCGTGAAACCTGTAGAGTAACTCAGTTTCCAGGAAAGGTCTGTAACTTAACCCCCAAAAGGTATGCAGGGTGAGACGAAGATGCAGCGTCTGCATTTTACAATCAACGACTTTCCTGCGAGCCTCTCTTGAACATGGTTAGCATACGCATTACACTTTCCCGACGAATACCACTGTCAGAAAATTTACCGAAGTCGACAAGCGATTCAGTGATTATGTCACTTTCTTACTTGGCGGAACCGTTCATATACTTAACTGTCGTCAACTCAATTTTCAACCAGCTCTCTGATGCATCCTACTATCGCAATATTTGTTTTCGTATTATTCTATTCGCATAGCACATTTGTCGTATAAACTAGTAACTGAATCTTCGCAGCAATCGAACGAAGCTCTTTTGTATGAGCCAGAGGGTTCCTGAAAGCGGACCTTGGGTGAAGCTCATTCGCCAAAGCAGTTCCATGCAATTAGTGATCCAAAGGAAGCTGGATAAATTGTGTTTTTGCATTGATAACAACAAGGATGTTATATATTTTCTTCCAGGTCATCAGTGTAATGTTGAGACTCTTTTACAAACGCAGCTTATGTAG